AAAATTCACCTCCATAAACATTGTCCTAATCCACAAAATTGTCTTAATCCCTTCCAGATGTGCCCCTCCTTCCAGGCAGACCGAGCCTCTCTCAGTGCCTCAACTGACCCGAACAAAGGCCTGGGTTTTTCCAGTCCCAAAAGCCAATAGAAATCATCCTATTTTCTCCAGTCGAATTTTCTCCCTCCTCTTCAAGTTTTCGACCAATGACATTTCCATTCTCATCGATAATCCCCTTAACCTACTCCCTCTTCCCCTTCTATCTTTGCGATTCTCTCTCAGCAAAAATCTTACAACAAAATTTAGTATTCATCTAAACTTAAAAGTGTAAACATCGAAACAAAATCCAAGTGTATCCGGAATCAAAATAAACTGTTAATTTGTTAAATATTAAATCGTGTGTGCGTGTCAATATTTATTAACGTTTCCAGTTGTTCTCGATCTTTCCTCATCTCGTTGATCCCTCTCTTAAGTATCGTCAACTCATAAGTGATACAAAGAACCCATTCGGCGTATCACGTTTCCCCCAAAATAATTTTGAATAATCAAACTAGTCAAATTTACAACTTGGCTAGAATCAAATCAAGATTGTTGTTTTGTGGCGAAACACTTTTTATTCTTTTACCGATGCTGGGGATCGAACCGGGGACGCTATGATTGCTAATCCTATGCCCTAACCACTACGCTACCACGCTATAACTATTGAGTAAACTATACATTGCCTATATGATTTGTATCGGGGTATTCGTTGAATTTACGATTATTCCTGATCTCGCGGATGTGCGTGTGTATTCTCAGAGATAAAATATGTTCAATTAAATTTTTATTTATTTCATTAATGAATAATAATAATGATAATAAGAAAAACTCTAATAAATAATTATTTAAATAATTTATTATTTATTTAAATAATAATTTAGGTGGGCCTGAAGCAATTTCCACTCGGGTAGCACAGAAACATGACTGTTCAATCTACATAACCGAAGCAGAAAGTTCTCAGGATTTTGTTTTTCAATCCATTGAGCCAGGTCATTTCCACAGCGGTGTGGAATTGAATTACGTGCGTGTAACCTACTGCCACGGCAGTCGTCGAGATTGCAATTCCTCAGGGCAGTCCCGGCTAACTTGGCAACAACTCGTCCTTCTCTGGCATTAAGTCGCTGGATTTGCGCCCCCCTCTCCCTCTCTCTTCACCGAGGGGCTACTCACTCCCTGATTGAGTGACATCATGACTTCGAAATGAAGTCGACTTCACGTGATTTCGGGGTTGATTTCAGTGAATTCGAGTTTGACTTCGGTGATTTCAGAAAAAAATGAAATCAATGACTTCAAGTGGCTCGTGACATGACTTCGTAACTGCAATTGATTTCGAATGCTTTCATACATTCGAAATAAATGATTTCAGAGACAGTATAGTCATTCAAATCACGATTATTAAAGCTCAAGGAACGAGAGGGAACGGGGCGGTTTAAGTTTTCAAAGTCTGCTTATTTTACAATAGGATTCAGTGCAACTTGTTCTTATTTCAAAGCATGAAACAAGAACTGGAGAAGGCTTTACTCGACTTCAATCTGTCAATCTCGAATTTTTACAAATAAAAAACAATTAAAAATTAATTTCCAACCTTTGTATTTGAAGAGTGATACACAAAGTATTTTACAAATTAATTATTTAACGTATCAACTGTATTTTTTCAAAAATTTTTTTTAACTTTATCAAAAATGCTCCCATGGAACTTTCAATCGCCAGACTTACATATCAGTGGAGGGGAAATCGTCGTTCTGTATTGTTTTATATCGATATAGCCGCGAACAGTCATTGGCTCGGATTTCAAACAATTCAAACTCTCATCCAAAATGTACCAATGTCACAGAATTTACTAACGAGTTCGATATCCTCTTGGATTTAGTGTAAGAATCCTGCTCACTGACAAAAGTAAAAATATTATTTACTACGTACGTCAACGTGGTACGTTAGCCACAGTACGGTTCATGACTCTGGCGCGACTTCAAGACTTCGGCATGATTACAAAAATTATTTCAGAGAGTTGACTTCAGCGATTTCGATGACTTCAATGAATTCACATGATTTCAACGTGACTTCAGATTGACTTTATCACGAGTAGCCCCTCGCTCTTCCCGCAATGCCCCCGCTCGTCGTGCAGGATCTTCCAACATACTGTAATTCATTTTCAATCTCATGTGCGTGCCAGATTCGCGCGTGATATTGGCATACGTCCCTCAATTGGAGGTGTATCAAAACATTCTACCTACGAAAGGAACGAGGAGCAGACCATTCTAATGGCCAATGGTGAGGGAAAATATAGAAGAACAAATCGCGCAGAGAAAAACGTTTCTGGTTCTCAGTGAAAAGTTTCTGGTTTCCGTAACTTCGTGATACTGAAATTCATGGACAATAAAAGTACACAGAGCGAAGAATGGGATTAGCATTAGAAAGTAGTTTCTAGATTTCAGAAACTTCGGTTCTTAACCTTTTTTTGTCCTTGGTAAAATCATGAAAACTGACAAATTTAGGGATTGTTTTTAAGAACCAATATTTTCTAACACCAAAGCTGAATTTTTCTTAATTTTAAAAAATTTTCAGATTAAACTTAAAAATCGCAGTCGAGATATTTAAAGGGCGTAAGTGCCCCATCCATGGGGAGCAGTGTTCAAATATGGAGAGTTTCACATGTGACGCGTGCGGTTTCATACATTTTTTAGGGTGGACTTTTTTAATTGGGTGCAAAGGTTTCTATGGGCGCTTTTATTTATGGAAGGGGGGCTCGTATATGGGAGGTTCATATGTTTGTGTGAGGGGGGGGGCATATATAAGGGGGTCTTATATGTAAGGAAAATTGTATGTGAGAAGTGCTTACATATAATGGGATACAAGACGTATATGAGGTATCCACGTCAAATGAGTCCATCGCTGACCCTCACACTCTTGGAAATGAATGGTTTTTCTACGATCGGGGAGGTTGAAAAACTATCTCTCAAATTTTTTCAGATTTTTTCGGCAGCCCAATTCAAAGATGTGATTTTTTTCACATTTTTCCGTTTTTTCCAATAACTCGAGTGCTATTTGTCCGATTTTGATTTATTAAGCGTCAAAATTTTCCATTTTTTAGTAATTAAAGCCTATACGACTATTTTTAGTAATTTTTTTTTCCGATTCCTAGATGCTCATAATAACGAATTTTCAAAAAAAAAAAGTTGAAAAACTTGAGTTTCGCAAATTACGTCACGACTGATATTCAAAATTTTTTTTTCAGTAATTCTCATAATCAAAACAAGTATTTTGAGCTATCATTCAAGTTGGGCATCCTCCTGGATCTATGTTATTTTTAATTTTTTCTTTTGGAAATTTCGCAAATTTGGTCAAAACACCACAAAACGACTTCCATTATGTATCGAAAAAATATGTAATATATAGGTATACAATCAAATTCATACTGTTTATAATTAAAATCAATCAACGCCATTTTGAGGTGTTGCGACCAAATTTACGGAATTTCGAAAAGAAAAAATTGACAATAAAATAGATCCAGGACGATGCCCAACTTGTATGATGGCTCAAAATACTTGTTTTGATTATAATAATTATTGAAAAAAATGAAACAAATCAGCCGTGACGTAATTTGCAAAATTCAAGTTTTTCAACTTTTTTATTCGAAAAGTTGTTATTATGCGCATCTAGAGATCGAAAAAAAAAATCACTGAAAATATTCTTATAGGCAGTAAAAAATGACAAATTTTGATGCTTAATAAATTAAAATGGGATGGATAGAACTCGAGTTATTGAAAAAAAAACCGGAAAAACGAAACAAAAATCATATCTCCGAACTCGGCTGCCGAGAAAATCTGAAAAAATTTGAGATATAGTTTTTCAACCTCCCCAATCGCAGAAAAAATCGCCATCAATTTCCAAGAGGGTGAGGGTCAGCGGTTGACTCATTTCGCGTGGAATACCTGATATGAAATGATTCAGATATGGAGGGTTTTACATATGGGGGGCTTACTAACCTCCCTATATATATATATATGAGAGGTGAGCTTCATATAGGGGAAAAGAGACGTAAGTCGTGGGAAAGAAGAAGATAAGGATCAGAAACAATAAGCGTCAATGAAAAGAAATGAAGCCCCTTGCTTCATAGACCCCCTTTTGATAAAACACTCGTCCCCGAAAATTGAATAAATTTTCTATATTTTAGAAAATATTTTTCTGAAATTGAATATTTGGGTTTAGAAACAATTCCAATTGTGGTTATGAACCTTCAACGATTGTTGTCAACAAATTAGAAAAAAAATTCTAAGTTTTAGAAAAGTAAAGGCTAGAAATCATGGTTTCTAAAATCTAGAAGCTTTTGTCTAAAACTAATCTACTTTTTCTCTATGTGTATTGGATCCCCGTGAAATTTCTCTTAGAATCCAAGAAAATAGTTTAATTCTCTAAAGAATCCTTGGGTAGGAAAATCTAGAACACCGGAATAAAATAGCAACCTTGAGGTTCTTAAATTGACATTTTTGTCTCCTCAAATTATCTCCATTAATTATGGTGAGACTTAGGCAATATCCTCACCACCGTCGCTAATTAACGGAAATTACAGAACCTCTTTCCCTCCTTTCCCCAGCAGCTCTTATTTCAAGAACCCAAGATTCTTGTTTTCATTACCCAACGGTTCTTGATTCACGTGGCATGGTTCTGGACTTCGGTACTGTGGTGCCGGAAACCACAAACTTTTTGCTCTCTGTGCACTGGCTGGATTTCTTTAGGCAGGAATTGGCCTTTCGATAAAGTTTTTACGATGCAGAGCTCGCTCTTAGGGTATTATTCAAAATAACGAGATATCTGGAAAAAACGGAATTAAAAATAACTACCTCCCTTTGGGCCAGGCAATTAAAAATATGCGAAAAATTTCGGAATGTGATTTGCTTGCTTCATTTCCTTCTCCACATTCTTCCTTTTTTTCTAAGCTTTTTTCCATGTTTTTTCTCCAGGATGCAAGAGTTTCTTTAAAAGAAGTGTTAGGCGGAACCTGACGTACTCATGTCGAGGGAATCGAAACTGCCCAATTGATCAGCACCACCGAAACCAGTGCCAATTCTGCAGGCTCAAGAAGTGCTTGAAGATGGGCATGCGCCGGGAAGGTATGCATTGTAATGAACCCTTTTTATTATATTCGTAGTTTTTACCATATAAATTCAATGTAATATTGAAAAACATCGTGTCATCGGCCGAAAAATGATTTTCGATCACCAAGACTCGATAAAGATGCGCGGAAAAATTGGGGAGAGCGGAGCCCCACTGAAAATATAAAAATCAGTGCCGAGCACCCGCTTTTCTCACTGCCAGGTTGGGGTGTGACTGGTAAAAGTGAGTGTGACCCATGAGAAGTCGAATCAACATCGTCCTGATTAATTCCTTTTTCTGGTTTATTTCGAGAAAAAAAGAATTTTTAAATTTCAAAATTTTGAAAAATTTATATTTGAATAACTTTACAACTGCTGAGATCATTTCACTGGAATTTCACTCCAGCCTGAGTCATACAAAACTACATTGACTATGATGAAGAGAAATCAATGCCATCATCTCTCCTGGAGAAACAATGGCGTTCGCAACAAAATCAATTTTGTTTTCCTTAGTTTTATTGGTAAATCTAGAAAACTGCTGAGACAACGTAGTTTAAAATCAGTTCTGAGTTAGGTGAAAATACATCGATTGCATGAAAAAAATTTTAATCGGACCGTTTGTTCTAGCGGAATTGTTGGGCAAACTTTTTCTGACATACACACACACACACACACACACACACAGCACCGCCAAGGAGGCGATCTCTGGGAAAAGATGGAGAGAAGGTACGAAGAAGTACTGTCTAGTGGCGACGCTGGACATTAAGAATGCCTTCAACTAAGTCAAGTGAGACTGCATCATGGAGGCTCTCGAGAGGATGATTGTTCCAGGATATCTGCGAAGGATGGTGGCTAGCTACTTCACCGACAAAGTTCTCAAGTACGACACAGAGAGCGTTCCTAAAGGGTACAAAGTCACCGGAGGGGTACCTCAGGGCTCGGTGCTGGGCCCTCTCGTGTAGAACATCATATATGATGGATTGATGAAGGTAGCATTGCCAACGGATGCGAAACTCGTGGCATTTGCGAATGAGGTGGCGGTGGTGATTGTGGCGAAGCATCTGGAGAAAATCCATTCCATCTTCGACACGACATTTAGAAGGATACGTCAGTGGATGGACTTAGTTGGTTTGCAACTCGCGGAGCATAAAACGGAAGCGGTGCTCATTACAAGTAGGAAGAAATTGGAGACAATCACGCTATAAGTCGATGACTACGAGCTCATATCACAGCCGTTTATTCGGTATCTCGGAGTGATGATCGATGCCCGACTGAATTTCAAGTAGCAGGCAGAGCATGTGAGCGCTAAAGCATCTGGAGTCAGAGCCATCCTGTCGCGCCTCATGCCCAACATAGGAGGGCCTAAGCAGAGCAGACGAGCTCTGCTGTCGTCGGTGGTCACGTCGGTGTTCACATACGGTATTGTCATCTGGGCCGACGCGCTGCGGTGGCCCCAGTGTATCGTCTGGGTGCCCTGAGAGTAGCAAATGCATACCATATTGTGTCTGACGATGCAGTGTGTATCATTGCCGGGATGATACCAGTCCACATATTGGCAGAGGAACGAAGATTTTTGTATCGGCAGAAAGGAACGCTTCAACTGAGCCCAACTGAGCTCAGGGCCGAAGAGAGATGTAAGAGTTTCCAGCGATGGCAGTCACATTGGGACGTGTTGTTGGAAGGGAGATGGACCCATCGCTTGATCCCCCAGGTAGGTGTTTGGCTAAACCATGAACATGGCGAAGTCAACTTCTACCTGACTCATTGTCAGATGATTTCGCAGGACACTGCTGCTTTCGGGCGTATTTTCACAAATACAAACATGAGGATTCCCCGAGTTGCCCGTCGTGTACTGGTGCTGAAGAAAACGCGGAACATGTATTTTTTGCATGTTCGCGTTTTAGTAAGAGCCGCTCCGAGTGGGAGTCTGCTCTTGGAGGAACGATTCAGCCGGAGAACTTGATGGAGGCAATCCTGTCATCACAGGAAGCCTGGGACGCAACGAGCGACTTCGCGACGAATGACATGAAGGAGCTTCGTGAGGAAGAGCGCCGTCGGAAAAATGCTGCATAGGAGAGGAAGCTACCGGAACCTCTGACTCATCCCGACAGCTAAGTGAGGAAGGAGGACGTACAGCACAGCGTTAAAAAGAGGAAGATCCGTAGCTAGAATATCTCCCTCAAGAAGTAATGCCTGCTGGCGATCCCTTGGGGAACTGAGAATAGATGAAAAGAGGGAAAAGGGTTTTTACTGGGTAAGAATCCCAGATCTGGTTTTTACTATCACTTTACCAGAATCTTTTGAAGATTTTCCTAAATCTCTATAAAAAAACACACACACATACACAAGCACGCATACACACATTCTTCATACAAAGTTTCTAGAGGTCATGAAATGTGAAGATATCATGAAATTTCCAGTTTCGATTTTTGGGACCATTACAATAACTACACGATACAAATGTGAGAATGTCTGAGACTATTAAACGACCTGAAATATTGTGACGTGCTGTGCGGTGTAAAAATCTATGGAATCGAACTAGGTTGACAGAATAGCGTGAGCAGTACATACGAAGCACGTGACAGTTGAGCCCCTGATCTCTATACTAATTCGATAGATTACTATTCTGTATTATCCTGTAAGACGCTGAGAGCCCTAGTAGAAATTTTAGCTGGCGGGACGACAGTCGATGGACCAGCCCGATCAGTAGTGAAAAGTTTTTTTATAGGATTTTTTTTCTTCATTCCAATTTATCGTCGGACATTTCTCTCCTCACTTCATTATAGTTGACATGTCTTTCTGAATTTTCCATAATTACAATTTTTAAGATATTTAAGGGTTTTTCTTTTTCTTCTTCTTCTTCTTCTTTTATTCTCTCTGGTTATATCCTTAATAAAAGGCAAGCACTATTTGTGGACGTCCGCATGAAAAGGGACCACTTTGTCGATATGGAGTTATGCATACTCTGATAATATTTACAACATTCCGCACATTTTGAGCCCAAAATGATCCTCATAGGGTGAAACATGACGTCGCCGGAGCAGATGAAAAAAACACTATAGCATGAGTGTAAATGGGAGTTGCTGAGACAAAAACGTGATTATCTCGGAAACTAGAATCGACAAAGTGGTCCCTTTTCATGCGGGCGTCCACATTTGTTCTCCACTATTTGGGATAAGAGGTAGAGCTGCCCTTTTTATGTGTTGAATTTTAGAATGGTCCTCATGCCCAAAGTTATGCATTTTTGGGACTCAAAAAACTTTAGTCACTATATTATTATATTGTGCAGTGCCTGAAGTTTTGTAGTTTTCAAAAATTCATAACTATTGACACGAGGACGATTCGAACATTCAACATATTTAAGGGGTACCTCTTACCTCTTAAGCAAGTGGAAAAATGACATATTCAGATCATTCCCACCATATAGCGCTCTGGCAGCGCAAGCGCATCAGGACATCTTGTAGTTTCTCGACCATTCAGAGGAGGTATTGAAGAACTATTCGACACTAGACGTGCTCGGCCTATAAGGATAGTTTACGGAGTTGCCAGATTGGGCGATTTGCCATAATTTGGCGTATGCGTAATATTTTGGGCTCGAGGGAAAAAATATTATATCATAATATTTGAAAAATCTTAATATGACGAAACATGGTACGACTCACAACATCTACTTTCACAAGTTACTGATTTTCTTGTTTACGCCTCTCGATTTAATACTGCGGTTCGAACTTTATTTTGAAAACATTGCCGACAATAAGAAGCACAAAATATCCCTTAAAATGTCCCGTAGGTTTCCGAATTGTTTGTTTAGAAGGTATTCTCTGAGATTTTCTTAAAATTAATTTATCAATTAGCTATCAAAGATGCTTTAATTGCTTTTTATTCAAACTCTGATGGTTTTGCAAAATTGAGGAGGGTTTTCTCGAAGTTTCCTTTAAGTTTCTGAATCTTCCAATCCTCAGAATATATGCTATTGTCTTCATCATGTATTTAATTAATAAATTAGAGTTAATTATTAAATAAGTTCCAATAATTATTTCCGTCAATATATTGACACTTTCCCCTGATGACTTTATTTGCATTTGTAAATCTGATTTATTGAGTATCTTTCGTATCCAGAAGGCCACATTCGAGTGATGTCTCTACAGGGCTTTAACGAATCGTCTTGACAAGACCGAAGTTTATTGTTATGGCTTCCGCATGGACGCCGCATCTAGATTCAGCATTTAGCGGACATTTCGCACACATTTTAGTCTGCATCATCGGGGCTAGGTTGTTCCGATACTGAAGCTCGCCTTTGTAAGGAAGTCCCTGTATCTCCCATGACTCTTGGAAGGGGTAGTTGAAGTGGTAGGGATTATCTCAACAAGTCAAGATGTCATTAATTGATCATCTGGTCATTTAAAAAACCGAGAGGACGGTGTGTCAAATTGAAGTGGTTTGATATTCACGGTTCCTATTGAGATTGTTCGCATGTTGCAGGATCTCAAGACCTCCGTGATACAGAGTGTCCCGTAGCATGTGAGCAAAGTAAATTGCGTAGAATTCCGCAAGGTGGCAGTGCAGTCTAAAGTCTAATATATGGTTGAAGTGGAAACCAGAGCTTATAGGGGAGATTGCCAGCGCTTATGGAGAAGCTTCAACCGCAAAATTTCGTAGCGGTGGCGCATGAACTAATTTAGAGTACGTACCTGTGAATAAGACAAGGCATGAGTAGGAGAGTGTCGATAACGGCGTAGAGTGGACAGATGTAGAGTGGGGATAGAAATCACGTCAGGGGAGGAATCGGTGGACTGGGGATGCCGTGAGATGAAAGTTACAACGGCGTTGAAGGAAACGATACGGTTTTCAAGCGGTGAGTGGCCCCGCAATATTAGCGCTCAATTAAAAATTCATTTCTTCTCTGCTAACTAAGATGCAGAGATGAAACTAACGGCATTCGATTGAGGATTAAAAACTCAATCGACCTACACCAGTTCCATCCCTTCATCTTCCATGGGGGAGTGGAAAACTCGCGTTGGAAGTCACGACGGTGCTGAAGAAAACGATACGGTTT